TAAAAGAAACTCTTGCAATTTTGAAAAACTATTTTAAACACACATACATATAAATATAAAAAATATTATCATAATGATTTTTCATCCGAGGAGACTCGATCGTTAGACTTGGTGAAAATTTCGGAGTCGCCACCAATATTTTTATAGAGTGTGATTGGCCACCCAATAATAATAATAATAATAATATAAGTAAAATCATAATATCACAAAATTGGTGCCTACAAATATACATACATATATATATATATATGCATTACTAAAGGTGTTTGTTCTAGTTTATTTGAGAGTTTTTTACAACAAAAATATAAATAAGATGTTTTACTTTCAAAATTTTAAAATTATTAATCAAAGCTAATTTGGCTTTTTAAAAGATTTTATAAGTTAAAACCTTTTCAAAATTGTTGTTGTATAATAAAAAATATATTACTTAGTTTTTTTTTTCACATTCTCAATTTATTTGTTAATAATTCATAAAATAATAAAAATGAATTATTTCACATACATATTTTTTTACTTGATCCAAATTTTCTATTAATCTAATTTATTTTTTAATTTCTAATTAATAAAAAATATCTTTGTTTTATTTATTGGTTTGGCTTATAAAGTTAAGCCTTTTAATTTGTATTTAATAAAAATCTATAAAAATATTATTAAATAATTTTCTTTTTATGTTTTAGAGCATTTTTGCATTATGTTTGTCAAATACTATTATAACACTTTTTACAAAAAAAAAAAAAAATTAATCAAACCAAACGAATTCTAAATATCTTTTTTAAAAAATAAGTGATATTGTAAAGCAAGAACCAAAAATCTAGTATAGAGATTACATTTAATAAATCTGAAATTTAAATCCTAATACTTACATTTTGTTTCTCAATATTTAAGTTGTGACATCTTTTATATAAAAAAAATACATCTTTTAAAGAAAAAAATTTAAAACTACTATCTCTTTGATAATAAAAATTTTAATTTACCTTATCTTAAGAAAAAAAAATTACAAATTAAAAGCTTTTAAACCCAATTTCAATTATTTAATTACCTATCCGAGGTAATAACATAATGATTTGCTTTGATGCAAGAGAAAAGCAAGAAGACTGATTGATCCTGGCAACTGGTAGCTTTAATTCTTCACCTAAAATTTCTTGGTCTGCTTTGACGTGTGTAAAATCAATACCACTTCATTGATCCTCGCGTTTAGAAAATGATCTTTAGCTTTCCTGACTTGAAATTTCTCTGTTTGTTTTGACGTGTGTGAAACCAAGACCACTTGATTGATCCTTGCATTTGATAGTTTTAATTCTTCACTTAAAATTTCTTAGTCTACCTTGATGTGTGTGAAACCAAGACAAATTGATTGATCCTTGCGTTTATAAAACGATCATTAGCTTTCCTGACTTAAAATTTCTTAGTCTGCCTTGATGTGTGTGAAACCAAGACAACTTGATTGATCCTTGCGTTTAGAAAACGATCATTAGCTTTCCTGACGTAAAATTTCTTAGTTTTCCTTGATGTGTGTGAAACCAAGACAATTGATTGATCCTTGCGTTTAGAAAACAATCATTAGCTTTCCTGACTTAAAATTTTGTGAAACCAAGACAACTTGATTGACCCTTGCATTTAGAAAACGATCATTAGCTTTTCTGACTTAAAATTTCTTAGCCTGCTTTGATGTTTGTCGAAAGCAAGATGACTTGGATTGATTCAAGGCCTAGCACTTAGAGCATGTCCTTAGCTTTTCTGACTAGATTCCTTTATTTTCTTTTATGGATGTGAAAAATAAAAATAAACTTATTGATACTTCTTTTGTCTCTCTCATGGAAAAAGAATTGCTTGCTCAGTTTTGGATTGCACCAATCACGGCTTTGATATATGGTACTATCATAAACTTATCTTAGGGTTGAATTGAAACTGACACTCCATGTGTCCTCAAATCTCTTTATCCTTATTTGAATTTGTGTACATATTAAATAAAAAATTGTGGTAAAAAAAGCGAGCCTAAACAATGATCATATGGCAAAAAACAAAAAGATCTTTTTAATTTTTTTTTATTGAAATTTATGTCAACAGTTACATGATATCAAGGCAGCAAATTTCATTGACTTTTAAAGTTATCGATTTGAGATAAATGAAATGAAGATAAATTTGAAATAAATGAAATCAAGAGAAATTTTGAACTAAATTAAAAAGATAAATGTGAAAAATATATAGTTTTTTTTATATAATTTTATGAATTGTTTGAAGGGTAAAATGAAAATGCACAAGAATTTCATTAAATATTTGGTCCCATATATTAGCAAATTTTAAAGCAATTTTAATTTATAACTTGGTTTTAAAATATTATTATATTAACTTCATTCTTTTCATATTCCATTAATTAATACTAAAAAAGAATTTTTGAAAGAAAAGATTATAAATAAAATTCATTTGAAAACTTTTTATATTCTACTAACCACTGAAATTAACTAGAATGTTAAGTAAAGGAAAAATTATATACTATTATCATATTAATTTAATATTTTCATATTCTATAAATTCATGATTTGAAAATAAATTTTAAAAAATAATTAGATCACTTTTATTTGAAATTTGAGTACGATATTGTATTTTAAAATTTTAAAATTATTTTTTTCAATATTGAATATTATCAATGATCAATTATCCTAATATAATTTATATCTCTTAGAAAAATATATATAATTTATATTTATATTTATATAAAAGAATGACTGCCTGAAATTTCATACAAGCCCATGGCGTAAAACGCGGAGTCAAGGAGAAATGACTAGTTGGGTCTCACAAAGTATGCAAGTCCAATAAATACAAAGAAAAAGAGAAAAAGATATATTGGTTTTAGATATGCTTTGTAAAAGGAGATCAAAAGCAAATAAGAGGGCCCAAAATCAAAAGCTTGACTCATTTTATTTATTGTGAAGACCAAGACCGTTGGTATCAATTACCTGGTGATATCAAATTCATCCAAAGATTTATAAAAGTACTAGACTACCTGTTTAGTAATAAAAATTGACATTTCGTTAAAAAAAAAAAACTCTTTGAAAAGAAAAAATAATTTAAAAATGGCCTATTTAGGTAATAAATACTTTTAATTTTCCTTACCTTAAAAAAGTAGTGGTTACAAATTAGGAGGTTTTACACCCAGGCTCAATTATTTAACAACCCAAGTATGATAATAAAGTAATCAAATTCAACATATAATATTAAAAGATCGAAACGCAGTTAGAAGAAGACCTTACTGTTTTTTGAAACCATACAAATTCACATGTTAATGTCGTAATAATAATAGTGGTTGCTTTGATTTCCGAAAAAAATAATAGTGGTTGCTTTGATTTGGTAAGGTTTAGATTAATTCTTGCTCTTGCAACAAAGTCAATTGCTTTTCTGACTTCAAAATTTCTTAGTCAGGTCAATTGGAGAGAGAATTGCTTGCATTAGGTGGAATCATTTGCAATATATATATATATATATATATATATATATGATAATATTAAGTTTAACACGATCACGTAAGATTAAAATTATATGAAAAAATATGTGAAAGTGATATTATTTAAAGTTTTGACAAAAATTTTATGTGGATTTGACAACAACAAAAAAAGTATTTTATATTTGATTTATCAAAATAAATTTGATATGAAAACTTTCATATTTTATACGTATATTGACATAATACAAATATATGAATTACTAAATCTATTTTAGACCATATAAATAAAAAATTTAATAGAAGTACCATATTTCAATATACTCATGTGGGGCGAAGAAAATTCATTAAAAATTAATTTTTTTATAGGATGTTACTTTATGGGTGGGTAGCTTTTTCTTAATAAGATTAAAAAAGTTTTTTTAAAATCTTAAATTTATATTGTTATTCTATTTTAACTTTGGATTTAATGTAAATTTACCAATTGATTAACTCATGACTGCAACTCAATCACGTTACCATTAGTGTGTGTGTATATCTATATATATATATATATATATTTATATATATTCACAATTTTAGTTTAAAAATAAATTTAAATTTATTTAGCAAAAAAAATTTAGATTGTATTGTATCCTAACAACATTATCATCATTATTACCTTAGAAATTTTTTTTTATAAAATTATAATCGATTTAACGCTTTTCATTATAAATTAAAAATTAGTTACAGATAGATGTGGTGATGACACATGTTCATAAGGGTCATAGAAAGATTTAATTTAATTTTTATGGGTACTTTTGACATTTTATGAAAGATATTGGGAGTTGTATTTTTGGACTTATTTTAAGATGTTGAATAAAATTTTTATTATGTTTGAGCTCTTATTATGGTTTTTTTTCTTATTATAAATATAAAATTATGCTTTATGTTTTTATTTATTTTATGTGTTAATTTTAAATTTTTATAATTTAATTTATCTCTATTTTATTTTATAAAAATAATTTAATAATTAAATTAATTTTATTTTTTTAGATTATGACACACTTGATATGTGAGTGAAGAAGAAAATATTTTGATAAAAAAAGGAAGTTAGCTAATAAAAGATGTTACTCGATGTATTGGATGTGTAGTTTTTTTTTTTTTTTTTTTTTACAAAAACAAATTCAAAACATAAGTATTTGTGCCTACATATTATTATTATTATTATCATCATCATCATCATCTTAAAATTTAAGTAATTTCATTAATTAAATTGATTCCACCTGCTTTAAAAATAACATAGATTACTATATTTTCTCCAAGAAGAGAGATGCAGCATTACTATTTTGCAACAATCTCGCGTAACACGTGGAGTCATGGGGCCTAATAAAGCGTACAAGACAAGGAATAAAAAGAAAGAAAGAGATAGAAAAAAAAAAAGAAAAAAGAAAAAAAAAAAGATGCTAAAATATAAATTAATTTCAAAGTGAAAAGTTTCACTCGTTTATTTATTGTGAAGACGAAGACCATCGAACGACTTTCCTGTCTAAGTCTAGTTGATTCTATATTTAACTATTACTTTGAGCAGACTTCCTCAAACCATCCTGCATTTCATCAATTCCCACAGCCATGGACATGAGAAAATTCCATTTTCTGTCGTCAGCTTTAATGTTCATTCATTGTTTGATGATTAGTTACGCCATGAGTGTGAGGAACCTTACGACAGCATCAATATGCTCTTCTCGAATTTAAACACCGAATCGTTGATCCTCACAATATCTTAGCAAACAATTGGACCAACGCTACCTCTGTTTGCAACTGGATTGGTGTCTCTTGTGCTTCTAAGCATAGGAGAGTCAACGCTTTGAATCTTCCCAACATGAATCTTATAAGGAACTGTTCCTCCACAATTGGGAAATCTGTCGTTCTTAGTATCTCTTGATTTGAGTCACAACAATTTTATGGGCATTTACCGACAGAGTTGGGGCAATTAAATCGTCTGAAACTCATAGAATTAAGCTTCAATTTTTTTAGTGAGGAAATTCCCTCATGTTTTGGGAGATTAAATAAAGTTTTATATTTGAGCCTCCGGTGCAACAATTTGACAGGTACAATCCCTCAATCACTAGCTAAAATGTCCAACTTGGAAATCTTGGACTTGAGGCAGAATCTCGTTCAAGGACACATTCCATCCGAGATAAGTAATCTTCTAAATCTAAAGATACTTCGTCTGGCATTTAACCAACTTTCTGGTTTCTTTCCTTCAGTCTAACATTTCCTCCCTACACGTGATTTCTCTTGGATCTAACAGTCTATCTGGCAGTTTACCTGAAGATATATGTCGTCATCTTCCCAATCTTGAGGCACTTTACTTGGCCTTAAATGAGTTTTCTGGTCAAATTCCATCAAGTATAGATGAATGCAGGTGTCTTCAAAATTTAACTTTAGCCTTCAATAGATTCAGTGGCAGCATTCCAAGGAGTATTGGAAATTTAACGAGGCTCAAAGTGCTACTCTTGGAGGAAAATAATTTGGAAGGTAAGATTTTTATTTTTATTTTTTGCCTTTGATAATTTTCTTTTATCAAAACAGTTCGTTCTTAAATTTTAAATGCAAAATATTTAATTTGTCACTAATTTTGTCGAACTAATTATATAGTGAAATATTGTTCAAACTAACACTCCCTAAGTTACGCGACTGAATATAGCTTTACGCTGACCAAGACTCCAACAATGCACACAAAAGAAATTAGGAAAAACTAAAACATATATATCTGTTTATATAATTAATTTAGGCTATTTTGACCAAAACTTGACCATCCTAGAGGTGTCATGTGGTACTCCTCTTTTTTTTTTTTCCTTCTTTTTTTTTTAAATTTTAATAATTATTTTTTGAAAGATTAAAATTTTCTTTTTCTTTTTAATTTTTTTGTTTTTCTTTATTTCCTTATTTTTAAATATTTAATAACTATTTTTAAAAAATTTAAAATTTTAAAGGTGAGACCCACTTTGTATCAAGATTTGTTTTTCCTCTTTGTCATTTTTACCATTTTATTTTTTTCCAAAATTTTAACTTATAATTTTTTACATATTTAATTTTTATGTAGGAACTACCTAATATCAAGGGTACATCACATGTTTGATTTTTTATTGATAAGAATTACAAAACAATCAATATCCACTATATTTGTATCCATCTCGATTTAATATGAGAGGTTTTGGAAAAAATCAATAGCGAATAAATTTAAGTCGAATTTTTTTATAGAAACAAGGGACATGTCAAAATCAAATTTATGATACTTTGCATCAAGCCATCCTATGATATATATATATATATATATATATATATACACACATATATAAATAAATATTTTATTACCTATTTAATTATATATATTCACTGGTTTTTTTATTCAAAGCTTGATATTAAGTGGGTTTCCACGTAAAAATATAAAATAAAATTTTTTTTAATAAAATATATTGTGAGAATAAGAAGCTAATTTATATGTCAATGTGCCACTCTCATTTGAATTTTTTTATCTTTTACCTTTTTTTTTTGTGCTTTGTTTAAAATTAGGTAAAAAAATTTTAAAAAATCAATGAACAGGGATGAAAAAATAAAAAAATTTTAATCCGAGACAATGTGTGGTATCCACCTAATTAAATTAAAATTGAGAAAAAGGTAAAATAAAATAAGCATTCAAAATGTAATCTATTATTATTCTATATAAAAGTAAAATCATATATTAAACTATTAACAGAAATTAAAATATTTTTAATTAATTATTCAAGAATATTACTTACTTTTGTACTGAACTCAACTTTTTGCTTTAATGATCAAGTAAAGCCTAAGATCAGGCTTGATTGTCTAGTTGCTGTGGGATTTCGTCGTGATAGCTGTGGGAACTTAGGTTCCAATTTGATTCAACGGAAATAATTCAAATGGGATAAGTAATTTTATAAACCAAAAGATATCTCTTGGACATTTTATTATTTAGGCTCTGTTTGATCATAATATTTTTTTTTATTCCTATTTGTTTTTGTTTTTGCAAAAAGTAATAGAAAAAAAAACCTAAAATAGAGTAAATTACATCATATTCATGATTTTTGTATATATAACAAAAATTAAAAAATAACTAAAAAATAAAAATTAATAGAATGATCAACATGAAAATAGTCACATTTGGTTTTCTTTTATGCTTTCTCATTTTGACTCAAACTTTTAGTATTGATGAAATTAATTATTCCTTCATATTTTAAACATTGAAGAAATTAGGGGTTTCCTGTGTAATTGACTTTTATTGCATTTTAAATAACCTCAATATTATTGAAATGTTTAGAAAGTGGATAGTTTTATAATAAAGTTGTTTTTCCTTTGCAGGTGAAATTCCATGGGAGATTGGGAATCTTATTTCATTGGAGAAATTAGTTGCATCATCTATGCAGTTAAGTGGATTGATTCCACATTCCATCTTCAACATTTCTTCTTTGAAAGCAATTAGTCTTGCCAACAATAGTCTATCAGGTAATTTCATTATAAACATTTCATTACTTTTATATTTAAAATTATTTACTTTAGTTTAAAAAAAGGTTTAGTTTAGGATTATAAAACAAATAATCATAAAATTATAAAAACTGTTAAACAAATGAAGTGTCATTGAAAGGCTTGAGAAATGTTTTTCAAACCTTTTTTTATCTTATTAAAATCAAAAACTGTTTCCAATTAAATTAGGGAAAAGCAAAACAGACTCAAAAGAATTTGAAAATCAAACCCGAAAATGGAAAATTCCATCTTTTGGAAAATATTTATAATTTAAAAAAAAAAACATTTTATGATGGAGTCATGCCCCTAACTAAGATGCGCACCACTTGCTAAGTCTACAAAGTTGGCCAATGTGGAGAAAGGATAGGTACCCAAAACTTGTGATGTAATATGGCTATTATTTATTATCCCATAGCAATTATATATGATAAAATTATTTGATTTGTTTTATAATGTAATAAAAAGTAATATTAACGTACTTTGTTACTCCCATATTAATTTAATGCCGATTTAATTTTTTGTTACATCTAACTTAAAGTAGTAATATAATATTTTATATTTTTATATTTATTTATCTGCAAATACTTAAAATCTATTTTTTGTGTAATAGAAAATATATCAATGTATTTCATTAATTTTATATTTATTACTAGTGTGTATCCACGTGGGGTAGTTTTATTGGCAAACACTACCATGGTCGGTAAACAAATAATGAAAGCAAACACCACTATCCCTTGCCATGACAAAATCACCACCCACCTTTGCCATGACGTCTACCATATCATTCAGCTTTTTAAAAAATTTTTATCAAACTGGATGCCCCAATTGATCTCCAAAGCATCACAATTTCAAAAAATATAGACAACAACTTTCATGGTCGATGATTCTTTTTACATAGGGGTACTTCCATTTCCCAAAAGCATACAAATAGCAAAACGCTAAAACTCCCAACATTAACCTCATAACCACCATCATATTCTTCTAGAAAAGCTCTATTTCGACAACGAATATCTTCATCTCATAAGTGCTCTTGAACATTGGAAACTAGAGTTGTCTTTATCTGGCGAGACTTGCGATTGGATCTTGTCCAATATTTTGCCTTAACTTTTTTCCTTCTTTTACCTGCTCGAATAGTAGTAAGAAGGTGAAATTTTTCTTCAACATTGAAAAGTTTCTCAGCGTCTAGATCACTATTGCTCATAAGCTCAATAGAAACTACTAACCAAGTTCCAGAGATAATAACATACTTTCTTGGACAAAACTTACATAAAGTTTTCTAGGTGAAGTTTGTAAAATTTTTTCTTAAAAATGATTTAATAAAAACTTTAATAAAAAAATAAAAACAGATAGATTGATAGAATTTAATGTGAAGATCAATAATATGTAAAAAAAAAATTATTAAAAATATTATTTTATATTTAAATTTGATCAATATTTATTTAACGGTAAAAATTTTTATAAAATTTTTACTAAAAATGTCTATATAAAAAAATATAAATTTTTTTAAATTTTTTCAAATTTTGCATACTTGATCTATGTAACAAGATATTTTAGTCGATCAGTTTTGATTTTTTATTTTAATTTTTATTTAATCATTTTTGGTTAAAAACTTCATAAATTTTACTTAAAGAATTTCATCTAAGTCTTTCCCTACTTTCTTTGCTTTCAAAAGTCAAAAGAACCATATTCTCACCCATTATAGTGACAGAACGATCATCGAAGTTCTCTGACAAGATTTGATCAATGGCATTTGCAGTATCAGAATATCTAACTATCCCAACAGCATTCCGTTGTAATCCAACCAAATCTAAATTTTCAGGAATGTATTCAAGGATGTTAAGCCATTTTAAAACCTCTTCTTTTTGACCATCTGATACAATGTTATCCTTTAACTGAGTGCATTTGACAGACATATGAACCACCTCTGCATAAGATCGTTCATCTCTAAAGTCTTCTATGCAGCTTACACCTTTTTCCATGTGGTGAGTGGTGGGGTTAGAACTAGCAGGAGACCTTTGATCATTCCTTGCCATTTGAACATATAGAGTGGAGTAACTCAGGAGCTAACCATTTAGAAATTTGACAGCCCTCAATGCATCCCGTAGATCAAGATAATGGACAAAATCATCTAAGACATTTTTGGCTCTCTTTTGATTTTTTAGGACATAAAAATCACCCACCCTCCCACATCTGACAAAACATTGCTTGAGATTAAAGAGACTACATCGTAGAAAAATTCCATCAACAAACAGTGTAACCAAATTTTTTCTCCCAAGGTAATGCTCTTATGTGGCCTTCATAGTATCCAAGAAGAGCTTTTTGACTTACCTTTACTTCACCCTCTAAATCGGACTAAGGCAAGGCTTTTCACCCTGTAATAATTGTGTAATCGAAAGCATCATTTTAAAATCTTTTTCATTAGTTTCACATTTTTTGTCATCATATTACTAAATTTTTTATTGTAGTAGGAAAATGTATACAGTATTACTCCAACATATCTCAAATGAACCTCCTCTGTTAGAGCATTCGTAAGGTTCTATCTGACCTTAGGGAAGAAAAAAAGTGATTTTCAAACTAAAAAGAGTACATGTACTTTTAACAATCTTTGAACAGAATCTTTGTATTTATCTCTTTTATTATGCATATAGTCTAAAATGAAAGAAATTTTATCATTTCTCTTGAGTCTTTTTTCCTGAAATGGCATAGATAAAAATTTTAATTTATTTCCCAAATATTTACACTTTCTCAAAGAAATTAATGTAAATATATTTTTATTTTTTATTTTCTTCATTTTTGTCTTGTTTCTTTTTCTTTAATGAACAATTTCATCATCCAAAATTTCTTTAATCTTTTTATCATTAAAGCAATTGAGATAAGTTAAAGAAATAAAATTCTCACATAAATGGAAAACATTTTAAGCATATACTAGAAACCTTAATAATATTTTCTTTTCTCCCTACCTTTCTTCTATCTTCATTTTTCTTTTTCTTTTCCTTTTTCCTCTTTTTTACTTTATTATACGTAAGCATGGAGCCTTCTAATCATTATAAATATGAAAAATATTTATAAACTATATATACATTCCAGATCATCAAACAAGAAAAACTTGAAGTTGTTTCATATTTATAATTTTTTCATGTTTCTCCTCACTCATGTTCGTATATGTAAGCATTGCATTCACTTCAGCTTGCATCATAGATTCATGAAAAACACAACAAAGCAAAACAATTAATTTATTTCTTGTATGGAAAGTTGAAAACTTATTTTTTCTCATTTTAGGTAAATTACCATACATGAGCTCTGCTTCAAATCTTGAGCAGCTTTACTTATCGGAGAATAATCTCAGTGGAAATATTCCTGACTCTATCTCCAATGTTTCTAAGCTCAGAGTCCTAGATTTAGATAGAAACTCATTCTATGGCCTTATTCCAAATACACTTGGGAATTTGAGGTTCCTTGAGATTTTGAACCTTCCGTCGAATGATTTGACCACCAAAATTTCAACTCATGGGTGGAGCTTTCTCTATTCCTTGGCAAATTGCAGGTATCTAAGAATTTTGGACCTATCATTCAACCCATTGAATGGAATTCTTCCAACTTCTATCTCAAATCTTTCCACATCACTTCAAAAATTATTGGTCGTTGATTGCAAAATTAGAGGCAGCATTCCCATGGAAATTGGTAGCTTAAGCAACGCTATATTGTTAGACCTTTCTTCTAATAAATTGACTGGACCTATTCCAACAACAATAGGAAGGCTAAAAAATCTCCAACTTTTGAATCTTTCTGGGAATAAGTTACAAGGCTCTATCCCACACGATCTTTGTGGTTTGGAGGGATTGTACGAATTATCATTGGGTGCTAATGAGCTTGATGGACCTTTACCGACATGTTTGTGTGATTTGACTTCTCTGAGACATCTATACTTGTTCTCCAACAAATTGTATTCGCAAATACCTTTAACTTTTTGGAGCCTTAAAGATATCTTAGAAGTGGACTTTTCATCAAACAATCTTAGCGGCTCACTTCCACTTGACATTGGAAATTTGAAGGTACTTATCTCTTTGAATTTGTCAAGGAATTTATTATCAAGTGATATTCCGTCCACAATTGGAAGTCTCTATGATCTACAGGTTTTGAATCTTTCTAGAAATAGATTACAAGGCCCTATTCCAAAATCATTGGGTCACTTGATAAGTTTGAAAAGCTTGGATTTATCTAACAACAATCTCTCTGGAGTCATTCCCAAGTCTTTGGAAAAACTTTATGATCTCAATTATTTTAATGTGTCTTTCAATAGATTGGAAGGAGAAATACCAAGTGGAGGGCCCTTTTTGAACTTCACAGCCAAATCATTCATGAAAAATTATGCACTATGTGGTTCACCTAGACTACAAGTCTCACCTTGCAAAAATAAAATCCATCCAAAACTCAAGAAGACCGCTCTTCATGCTTTGAGGTATGTTTTACCAACATTTGCTTCAATAATAATAGTTGTAGCTGTCATAATTGTCTACAAAAAAGGGCAACGGGGGAATATGAATTTGGCAATGGTTAACGATTTAATTCCTCTCAAGAAAAGGAGAAGAATTTCGTATAATCAACTATTGCAAGGGACTGGTGGATTTAGTGGGAATAACTTACTTGGTTCAGGAAGTTTTGGCTCTGTATACAAAGGAATACTTTCAGATGGAACAGAAGTCGCAATAAAAGTTTTCAATTTGCAAATAGATGAAGCATTTAAGAGTTTTGACATTGAATGTGAAGTGATGAGCAATATCCTTCATCGCAATCTTGTCAAGGTTATTACTTGTTGTTCAACTATTGATTTCCAAAGCCATAGTGCTTGAGTTCATGCCTAATGGGAGCCTTGAGAAATGGTTATATTCTTACAATTATGTATTGGATATCCTACATAGAATCAACATAATGATAGATGTCGCATCGGCATTAGAAATACCTCCATTTGGGACATCCGATTCCTATAATCCATTGTGACCTAAAACCAAGTAATGTCTTATTGGATGAGGACATGGTTGCACACGTGGGGATTTTGGAATTGCCAAGCTAATTGGGAGAAGGAGATTCCATCAAACAAACAATGACACTAGCTACTGTTGGCTATATGGCACCAGGTGATTTTTTCATTTTTTTTTAATTTTTTCTCTATTCCAAGACGAGTAGATATTAGTATTTTATCATTTTATTGCATGAGATCGTTTTAATGATTCAATTATATTTAAAATACAGAATACGGATCGATGGGAATTATTTCGACAAAAAGTGATGTTTATAGCTATGGTATTCTATTAATAGAGACTTTCACAAGAAAGAAGCCCACAGATGAAATTTTCGTTGGTGAAATGAATATAAAGCATTGGGTGAAAAGGTCATTATCAAATGAGATAATTGGTGTAATAGATTCTAGTTTAGTGCAAGAAATGGATGAATATTTTGTTATTAAAGCAAATTGTATATCATCTATTATGAGATTAGCTTTGGATTGTTCAACTGAATTACCTGAAGATAGATTAGATATGAAGAATGTTGTATCCATGCTGAAGAATATCAAAAGAGAATATCTAAATAACATTACGCAGGATTAATTACTATGGTAAGAAATGCAATTATATATAGTTTAAGCTTATATAAAAGTACATAGTTTATATTTCTAATTTTTTTAAGAAGGTATTCCGTTAAGCTTTATATATTTTTTGCAGGTTAAGGTTACTACTACCATAATATGTATTTGGGTTCAATAATCAAGGTACTTTCACCACTTTTGAATTTTTATCTATATATTTATTTATTAACTTTGAACTCTTTATTAAAGTAATTTTTTCTTAGTAGCATTTTAAATTTTACAGTAAAACTAGAGTTTTAATTGCATTAAATCATTAAAAGAGTTTAAATAATTATGAGATTTGCATAGCCGGTGAATTTCAATAACTTCTATGTCTAAGTAAGGAAGCATGGTAGTTGTAAACATATAAAAAAGATTTTCTTGATTAATAAATAACCTTTTCACCTGGATGTGTGGTTACATGTACAGGAAATTAGGCTCATTTTGTATATTTGTGTTTTCTTTTATATTTCTTTTATTAAATTCATATTATTTCTCAATACATATAATTAATTTATATACGTTATGTATGATTAGAAATAACATATATATAGATTATAATTTTTATATAATTAACCATAACATAAATTATAATGAAGAGAGCCAGTAAGTTAAATTAATTTTTATTTACTTACGTTATTTATTAATATAATCATCGATTAGGAATACCTTTTTGTTATAACTCTTTTTTATTTGAAGGATAATAATAACAACAAGCTATTTTATTTTGTTTGTTGAACACTGAAATATATAGCTTTTTTTTTTTTTTTGCTTAATATGCAAAATATGTTTTATTTATTTTGATAAATTAACTATATTAGTTGCTATTTAACGTAGATTTTAATTACAATATTGTTAGTATTGAACACATATTTACATAATTAAAATAATATTCATATACGAATTTACCATATAACTTATATATTTATTGACATTAAACAATTTTAAAGATAAAAGTATGTAATGACTTTACCTAAAAGTGAATATCAATTTATTAATTATTTGCTTTGATAAAATAGATGTTATTAATCACATAAGCCATTATTGAATTTCTATTGATTCAGTTTCCTATAGATTTATAATTTTAAGCTTTTGAAATGTTTAGAGTTAGTCAATCATCATTTGTACCTACTCATCTAAGTTTATAAATTATTGTCTCTTATTTTTATATGGTATGATGTTATTAATTTATCAATTATCAGTGTGGGCATTTTTTTTCTCTTATTCAGAAACCAATTTAATAAGTATGATGAAAAAGAATAATAATAGAGGTAGGTGCAAGCTTCTTGAAGTTCATCTTTTTTTCTTGCACTTGATTATTGTTAGAAATTGATTTTCAAAATATGAACGCAAGCTTCTTGTCCAAAAAATAAATAAATAAATAATAAAAAAAGGGAACTGATGAAAGTTTTGTAACTTTATTGCAGCATGTAACTTATGAATTCAGCGTGGAATAGATTGTCCTGTTTCTTCTCTTTTTGTGATTGCATGAAGCTTGAGTGAGAGATTTATGGTGTGTTTGTGAATTGGAAGTTCACCTTCCAATGGCGTGGAATGTCTAAGAAAGTTCATGAAATCATGGCCAAAAGCGGTGTGGTGTTTCTTCTTGAGAAATGCGATAATTTTTCTTGCAATGACTTTTTATTTTTATTTTCTTTTAGAGGAACATTAGAGTGATATGTTTTATTTGGAATCCATAGTTTTATTGAATCATATTTTGGAAATAAACGATGCAAAGTTTATTTAACTTGATGCCAATGGTTTTCCTGTTACTTTATTCTATGAAGGTGTCAATATTTTTTATTCAATAAATGGTGAGTAGCTAAAATACAAGTAACTCAAGTAAGAACATATGATATAATTGTTTATATTTTTGAATTCAGAAAGTTGTCAATTTTTTCTCATTTTAGAAGAATTAGTTTTTTTTCTTGATATACTTGAAGTTAAATAGTCCAAAGACATATTTTGCTAAAATGTTTTGGTGTACAAAAATTACTAATCATTTTTCTATAAATTTCCTCCTGTTTTCATTTGTCAATTATTAATTTTCTATACAATTATTTAATAAATTGAAAACAAATCTTTGAAAGGAAAAATGTCAATGTCGTCACCTGGTTTAAAATAAAAATTGTTAATTAAAATATCACTATTTTTTTTACATAAATGATAGGGAGAAGAAAAAGCATAAAATTAATGATTTTGAAAATAATGTGAATTTTTTGTATTTTTTTAATTAATGATTTGAAAACAACGTTTAAAAAAAATTAGAAATAAAATTTATTCAAAAAAAACTTTTGATATCCTTAGTAACTAATGAGTTTGATTAAAAATAGGTAGGAAAAGAAAAGTTATACAAATTATATATATTAATTCCAGTTTTTTCATATTTTATTTAATTAATTATTTGAAAATAAACTTTTGAAATAAAATTATATTTTATTAACTAATGCCTTGAAAATAAGATTTTGAAAGAAAAAAAAACGAATTAATTTAATTTAGAAAACTTTTCATATTTCACTAACCATTAAATTGAACTAAAATGATGGGGAAATATTCATAAAATCTAAAGTATATTTATTTAAAGATCTTTTCAGTTTGATCAAAGTCTGTATCATCCAATATATTTGGACTTTATTGTCTAAAACGGGCTCAATTTGGATTGCTTGGATCAAGGGCCATTCTCTTAAAGGAGAAACTATTTGGTAGGTATTTGAAACTCAAAATTGTAGTTGAAGTTGCAAAAAACTATCATGGTTGCGTTCAGTTTACAAGCCTAAATCCTAAATCAAAAATATCAAATGCAGAACTAATCCAAACCTTTGAAATTTAATATTTATTTAAATTTAATATCAAACCCAAAAAATTTGATAAAGCATATCAAACTTAAAACAACTTTACCAATATTCAAAGCCTGTGTCTGAGTCCCCAAGCCTTTAATCTAGTGGTTAAAGATATTTGAGGAGACATCGAGAGTCTGATTTTGAATCAGATCTCTCTCTTTTTTTTTATTTGTATTAACATAAGCTTGTGTAGGGATTTTGGTCGCTACAATGGTAGTCTCAAAGGAGGACAGTGATGGCTGACTTGTTGTACTAATCGATCAAGCCATCTTGTTGGTGATGGTAGTGGTGAAATATACTAATTATCAAAAAAAAATGAAAATGGAAAAGGAAAAAGCAAAAAATATATATATAAAAGATAAAAAAAAAGAAGGAAAAGAATAGAAAAGAAACAGACCAAAAGAATGGTAAAACATGTAATTCTGAACTTGCTGACTATCATCTTATATAGTGCAGATTATTTTAAAGATCTAGTTTAACTTAAGTTATATCTATACTGAGGTTTTGATTAGTTAACATATTTAAGGGGCCAGACAACAGGCAGTTTGTGTTCTGTTATTTCCCTAGATTTAAACAAGCTTAAAAGGCAGAGTACATAGGCAATATACCTAACGATCTGGTGTAAAGTAACCAAAATTGAGAAAGCTCAAGCTTATGTTATGTCCAACGCGAGGCTGCTAGGCTTAAAACCGCAGTCATATCACTTACACTACAGAGTAGTGGAGCCAAACAAAGTTGTTAAAATCAACAAAGGGTAGAGGTCAAAAATGAAAGTACCTCTGAGGAGATTGATGAAATGGATTTCTGATCTGCATTTCTTACAATTGGAATCATTAAACCCTGCAATCCAAATAAAATAATATGAAACCCGTTGCTCTATGGAGCCCGAGAACTACATCTTATTGGAAACATACCTTCTCAGTAGCAACTGAAATTGATATGTCAACAGAATCACACTATTATTTCCCCTTTTCTCAACATCCCAATAACCTGCAGTCATTGAAATAGCAAATTTTTTAATAGAAATAAGCCAAAAGAGCCAAAATTTTTGTATGAAAGCTAAATTTAATTGAAGAAAAAGGAATAATGTAATTATTTTCCACTTTATAAAATAGCAATTATTACTGATAAGCTGATGCTGGAAATTTCCTATACACAGTGTGTACACTCGACATAAATGTATGATAAATTAGCAGTCTAAGTGCTCTTCCTGTTTGAAACTTCTTCGATGCAACCATATATTATCAACACAAAACAAGATAAGTCTTTTCCTGTTCGGATGTTAGAGGAGGCTCATAGACCCACCTGGTAATAATATGTGAAAAGAGAAATCCAAAAATATCAGACAAATAGATGAATTGTAATACGTCTTACTAATAACAACATTTGACAGTATAACAAATGCAAAGGTTGTAAAGAACTTATAGCAGTAACAGAGATACATTTCTCTTCAAACTGCTTAGAAAAGAACAAAGAATCAATAATCGGACTTTCCTTGAGCTTAGAAATTTAATTCTCTTCAAAGAACCCAACTATTAACTGAACGAATAAATTAACTACAAATATTAAGGAAAAGCCTTCAGACATTTTGTATTGCAAATAGCATACAGGGACATAAAGGAAGACTGACATGTTCAAATACTTCTATCACAGTTCTAGTGCCTTTATTTAAAACCAACCCTAACATGTTATTAATTCAGATGTATTAATATCAAGTTTATGAAGATATATTGCCCGTATTTAAAACCAACCCTAATATGTCATACATGATAAATAAGTTTTAAATAAATAAATAATAAAAGGAAACCCTCTCAATCAAACCCCTTACTAATCCTATTCAATCAATAATCTGTGATTCTATAATGCAATAGCCATAAAGGCCTGTGTCCTTTTGGTGAACTCAACTTAAAATAAATCACTTGTCAGTGCAACTGATTCGTCAAACTATAACATGCAAACTTTGAACCCCATGTCATTTGAATGTTGCTCCCTCTAACTTCAGCCAAATGCATTCATATAAACCTCCTAATTTGGGCAAAGCTCTTTGCATCATTTTATTTCCATATTCTCCTACACCACCATCTGCCTTTGTCATCAGTTTGGTCATTAGCGCATAAATCTTACCTTTCTTATATTGATGCATGCTTCAATTTTTTATATCAACCTATACATAAATGTATGAATAGGTCATTTTTTCACTATCCAATATTTGGTATAAACATCTGCAGTCACAGGACTTAAGGGATTTTAAGTTTTATCTGACGGCCAATGCAATATAAAGGCACATAGAACATTATTTTAGGAATAAAGATTAAAACCAGTCCATAATGCTCTTCCTATCTTTAAAATAATGACCTAGTTAGAAAAGGTCAAGGCCCAAGTCTATTGCCTTGTTAATTCCCTTATAACTGAACAGTGAAATATACCTTGCGAATTTGAGTATTGGACAGGTCTTCAAAAGAATCTGATTGCTGTGGATGAGCTTTTGACTCAGGCCTTGCTGAAGGAGATTTCTTAGGGCTGATTTGAGTTGATGGTTTTTTCTTCTCAGATGAAGATATCTTGGAAGATCCTTTTCCGGACTTAATTGCAGCCAAAACATCTCCTTTTAGCAAAATACCACGAGGACCTGATGCCTTTAGTGATGATGCATCTAATCCATGTTCTAAGCAACTTAGCTGATGTATTGATCTTTGTACCGGACTTCTGCACTCTAACTTTACTTTTGGATTCATGATGAGTTGTTTCTTGCTTTTTGACAGCTGAACCACTACTAACAGAAGTCTTTACAGCTTCAATATCAACTGGATCTTCAACCTTGCAAAATAACAAGCATTAGTGCCCCATGTGCGTTAAGTCACTACCATTAGCTTGACTTCGAAAAATCCTTTGACTAAATATGAAGGGGTAAATTGCATCAAGTAATTTACAACAAGATATGAAATAAGTCAACGTAAAAGCATATAATGGCGACTTACTGTTACTGCAGTAGGTTTCCCCACAGCCACATCCTTTGAACCTTCTGGAGCCAGTATCTTTGCCAGGTATCTGCACCCAACAATTTCAACAGACAACAGTAAGTTTATATTTAATTAACAGAAATGAACCATAGAAATGAAAGGAATTGCTAACCAAGATCAATCTCAAACCCAAGAAAGCCTTTCTTTTGTTATTAACTCATAAAAAATACCCTTGCTTCTAGATTGAACTATGTTCCACCAGCTTTGCTTGTTCAATTTCATAGGATTCAACTTATTTAGCCACGTAAATACAGCCCTCCAAATTTTTCACACAGCTTCTCTCGATTTGACATCTTATTTAGTAGTACTACTTTTCACTGTTAGTCTTACTAAATATAATGTCTACATATGTGCTTTATGGAAAACTCACGCTTATGCCTGGCATCAATGTTATATACACACACACACACACACACACACACACACATAGACCTTGCTTTTGTTGTTCACTTGGATAGAACTAGGGTCTAATACATGGCCAAGTGTAACTAACATATATGATCATGCTAATATTTCCTTGAAAACAACAAGGTATATATATATGTACATAGACCTTGCCTTTGTTGTTCACTTTGATAGGCTTAGGGTCTAATGCATGGCCAAGTGTAACTAAAATATATGATCATGCTAATATTTCCTTGAAAACAACAAGGTAAATCCATATTAATACCAAAGGTGTTTCTCATCTTAGTGTATATCCAATAAGTCTATAAGCACTATTTTGGAAGACTTACGCCTGATACCTCAATATTTATCATACTTTTGGATGGACATAAAGACAAATGATCAGCTACAGAAATCAAGTTAGTCCGAAGATTACACTATCAATTAATGTCACTTTAGTGCAATCAGCAATAAATTCCAAAGCAAGAAAGAATATTACCTCTTCAAGGCTCTAAAATTCGAGAGTAGCTTTGTCAGTCTAAATCTCACATATAACATCGGCCACTTCTATCTGCCCAACAAAGTTAGGCAAATTGATGTGAACAAGCTTATTATTCACTCTAATAGAAAAACAAAGCATTTTAAAGTGTTTAATAACTTGTGGTAATAAAACTAACCTTGTCCCCTTCTTTTTTCCTCCACTTAAAAATATTACCCTGATTCTATATAATAAAATATGAAAAGGCAAACATAAGCTTTTGCAGTAAAAAAAAGTCAGAGAAGTAGGTTCATATTTTAGCCTAATTTTTCTTACCATTGTTGGAGAGAGTGCTGGCATTCCAATAACAATGTGAGGAGGAAGGTCTAAGGCGTTGATAGTAATAGAACTTGGTTCCTCTTCTTTTTCTGTGTTTCTGACATCCTGATGGGCTGTTTTTTCCTCAACCTCTGATCCACCCTCAAAAGTAGAAGGGATCTTCTGGATATTTTGTTCATCCTCAACCTTGTGAACCCATCCAAATGAGTTTTAACAAATTGGTTATTGCATAGTTGGTACTCAACAAAAAATTATTATTTAAAAAGCAAAAAAAAAAAAAATTCAGATATCAAAAGTTATTCACCATATAAGATGGAAATTTTATTGCTTGAAATTAGAAGTTATTTTTCTACAATTTTGTTGCCATTTATTAGAAAGTTTATGAACATAAGTCCTTATTTATATAGTTGTTATTCTTTAAACTTTTTTGAACTCCAAGAAGCATAAAAAGAAGTGGATAGCTAGCAAAAGTTGGTAAGCAGGGCAGATGCTCATTAGATCAGGATGTAAGAATCCCCAAATGCTAAGCAAGATTGTTTTCTTCTTGAAAAAATTCAAATGGAATCAAATTTTATAGATCCATCAATAGTATGCGACTAAAGGATGCACCAAAGAAAAAATACCTTACTGCAATAGGTTGTCCCACAGGCACATCCTTAGAACCTTCAGGTAATAATGGTATCTTGGCCAAAAACTTGCGGATAAGCACTCCAACCATAAGCAACAGTAAAAGAAAAAAGGATGGTTATGAACTTCACTAATTCAAGTGTGCTCTTTGGTCAATATTAATAAGATGAAACAGCACAAGAAAAGTGTATAAAGGGCTCACATGCAAAAATATAAAGTTGTAAAAGGAAACCAAAAATCCCATATGTGAAGCAAAATTTAGTAATAAATTAGGCCATAGGATTTAACATCAGACACCATAGAAATGGAAAAATAAAAGCAGTAAGAAGCAAAAAAACAGGGTTTACCCTTCTTCCAGACTTTCAAACTTGAAGGTGGTTTTATCTGTCTCTATTTGACATGGTACATTCAAAATGTTAGGTAAGCATCAATGATCAAGAAATAAATCAGGATGACAGAATGAATCAATTAATTCACTACACCTTATCACAAGATTTTTATTTTTGAACAACCATCTTTAATTTACATCAAATTCAGATGCGAAGACCATACAACCTATAGCTTCCATTAGTTTCTTATATAACTCACCTTATCTCCTTCTTTCTTCTTCCATTTTTGCAATGTTACCTTGGCTGTGCACATATGCAAGAAGTAGCACAACCTTCACTATTGGAATAAAGGGAGAAAGTGTATATCATAGTCAAATATTATGAGGCTTAGCATCCCAAAATATATTACCATTGTTGGAGACAAAGCAGGCATCCCCAGGACAGTATGCTCAGGAAGGTCTGTAATAACAGAACTTAGTGATAAGCAAGGAACAAATCTTTCGCAAATATCATAATGAAAGAAAACAAGCAAAACCCAACAACCAAGAAAAATGGTAGAAAATATTTACCCTTTTAATAAGTAGACTTGAATCTGGGACCTACTCTAACCCGTCTCCACACTTTTATAGCTAGCTTAAGGCCCAACAGTCACTAATGCATTATGAGACCACAAAATCTATTTAACATATGAAACCAAGAGGTGATACATCCCAATTTGAAGCACTGACATTTTATATGTAAGATGAAGAATATAAGTAAATAGATTTTCAAATAGGTCTTGCACAAAGACAATGTATTGATTCCACATTATGTAACTTGTATTCGTCCATAGACAGAGCTGAGGCAAACATGACAACCTACCTATAACCTAAAGTAGGACCAACTAATTCTATGGCCATGTATTACGTATATTACTGAGGCTAGGCAGTTGAGTGCTCTTCAACCAAGCAGATTTATAACTACTAGAAAATCTAGAATAATGAACCATTCATAAGAATCCTTGTATCCATAATACCAAATATTGCTTTTCGAATTCCTACTGCTCAACAAGCACAATTGTTTATGATGAACAAGACATAGATGTTTCTTACTTCAACTGATACAAAAAATTTCATGAAAGTTTAGCCATGTAAATAGCTCCTTGCCTAGATAAATATCCCTGAGTATATATGAACACATGAAACCGGTGCCCCAGCACTTGCCAAGTGCTAGGTTATGACTCTACTACAAGAAATATCCACAGTGAATAAGTGCTATCATTAGACTCTAATTTATAGATTTGAAATATATATATATATATAGAGAGAGAGAGAGAGAGAAAGAGAGATTAAACAAGGCAAGCTATTCGAGTAGGCAATTTTTTTATGACCGAGATACCTAGCATAAGATCATACTGACTTTGCTAGCGGTTTGAAATAGAAAGGAACGAAAAAGTAAGCAAGTCACTCAGAGCCTCTCTGACAAGACTTTGAAAACTAGATGGGCATATACAAAGAGGGAAATGTTTAATGGTGTCTTTGGATGAGGCATTTGGAGTTGGGGTAAATATAAGAGAGAATTTCAAAATTTGTGAGGAATTTCAAGAGGAAATTTGACCACGTCAAATTCTCTCTTGAAACTCCACCTAAAGAGGTGGTTTTTTAAAATTCCTCCAAATCTCCCATTACTTTACTGCACATGGCCCACCATAAAATACAAAACCCAAAAAACAAAATATTATTTTATTTAACTCTAATATCAATTTTTTTCTTTTTAATATTATTAATAATATCTACACATTTTTACAAATCTAATGATGTTCATATTTCATATTTTTGTACATATGTATTTTATTTTTCTTTTATATTATTTCTTATTTCATCAAATTTCAACAAAATAAAATTTTCTTTTAAAAATATTTATCCAAACAAAACAATTACAAATGTTAACATTTTAAAATGATGTATTTTAAAATATCCTCATTTTAAATTCTTCAAAATTTTAAAATTCCTCGCCCAAACACACAGTAAAAGTAAAGATGTCATATACCTGCAGATGAGAAATGCCGAACTCCAACTTGCAATTTCAAAATCTCATAAAATCAGAAGCCAACCTTATCCTAGAAAAGTGCAAATAATAATCAAATACCAACCTCGAGCATTGATGAAGTACTGTATATTCCAATTACGGTGGATAAAGATTTGGGCCTGCTATGAGGGGAAAAAGCGGTAAGATTCAGAAAGTAAGCAACCCAGCTACATTTGTCCAAATAAAGGCATAATAAACGAAATTGAGTTAACTTTGATGTATCACCATCATTTAGACAAAACTGTATTGGTTTTGGGTTGCAAAAGCAAGAAGGGAAAAACAACACTGACCAAACTCAAACTTCACTTAAAAGTTTTATCCCTTGATATTTCATTGGTTTAAAATTGTGTTACACAAGGAAAAAAATGTTTCCACTCCAAATGCAGAGACAATGTTTAAAGGTGTTAACATAGGTACATGAAGATTAACACAAGTAAAACCATAGCATAAATAACTAATGAATCATGTAAAGCAGTCGTAACAAAATTTACCACTGATAAATCGGAAGTCAACAGAGAAAACCTTAAGCAAGATCCATTTCAGTCTTTGAAAGGGCTCTAAACATTTGTAGTGCTGCAACAGTAAATCAGTAAAAGGACATAAGTAGAACGATATGAACTCATGTAAAGGTGCTACACTTAGCACAAATTAAAGGGCATCATATATAAATAATCAAGAAAAGTCACAATTGAGAATCGTATTCCTACCTCATATCAGTAACTTAAAATGCTAAACTGCTATTTTCGCTTGGAAACAAAGGGATATAGGTAGATTGTTTGTAAATGCATTGTGCAGACGTATATAAATGAAAGCGATAAATATATAGCAAGTAGACAGAAATGCATAATGGAACAAAAAAAAAGCCCAATATAAGAACTAAAGATAATACTAATATATATACATGTTTATATAGAAAATGATTTAACAGAAACTTTTTCTTTTTGATAATTATATATCCTTGTAACGTTCAAAGAACATAGTTTCATTTCAAGCACCATTGCAATAAAGTTCTGCATCTAATTTCCATACCAAAATTCTCACAAAACCCCACTCTCAAAATCATTACTTTCTGCAATAAAAGAAAAAATAGATCATTCAAATGCAATTCTGTATTTGATTTCAAAACTAAAATTCTCACAAAGAAAACTAACTCTCAAAATTACTACTTTCATCCAAAAAGATTCAAATCCGATGCAAATCAATGGTTATCACGGCAAGTGGCAAGTACCTAATACAGTTGATAACAAACAGTTCTAAGCATAGAAATAAATGGGAAAAAAAAAAAAAAGAAACAACACCCAGAAAGTGATCTGGGTGAGGCGTTGGAAGAGAGAAAACAAGCTCTAAAGAGAGATGGAGCGGCTTCTGAGAAAACTGGGTTTCTAAGCCGTGAAAGCGCCATTGAAATTGCTCTGAGAAAAAACAAAGTGTGAGAAGAAAAAGCTTTGATTTTATTTAATTTACAGTTCATCAGAGAAGAAGGTTTTGGGTGTTTATTTTTTGACTGATCGATTTAAAAGAAGGATACAAAAAAAAAAGTTCATTTCTTTAGATCGAAAATGTCCGCGCCATAGTGCATATTGGTCTTCAAGACTACGACTGCACAAAAAAATCTGTTAGTTTTGCAAAATTTATTTTTAAGAAATGTGTTTTAGAAAAAATTTTATAATTTTTTCTGAAAAAACAGATTTTTCGTTATTTAAACGAGTGAATGAAAATTTTTTTTTTGTTATTTGAATTTTTTTTAGATTTTTGTTAAAATAATATTTATATAATTATTAAAATATATTAAATTATTTATTATTAAAATAATTAATACTAAAAATTAATTAGATTTTAATAATAATATTTAATATTATATTATTATATTAATAATAAAAACTAAAACTATTTATATTTTTATATTAATACGTTAATTACTTAAAATAATATTATTAATTTATATAATTATATTAAAATACTCATATTTATTAGTAAAATATTAAAAATATTCATAATATTAAAATAATTATATTTTAGATTGAAAGTATTTATTATTAAATTATATTAAAAATATTATTTAAAGATATTTATTATTAAAATATTAATATAAAGAAATTAGTCAACAAAATATAAAAATAATATATTTTAAATTAAAAATATTAAGAAATAATTAAAAATATGCATACTATTAATATAATTATATAATTATATTAAATAATAAAAATATATATTAAAATAATAAAATATTATTTATTATTATAATATTTATTATTAAAATAATAATACAATATTATTTATTAGTGTAATATTAAAATATTTATGGTAATACTATACAAAATGGAAATATTTAAAATTAAAATATCAAAAGGCTTTTAATATTAATATTTTATTTTTAATTAAAATTAAATACAAATATTTTTATTAATATAATTATTTTTTAAATCAAATCAAATCAAGTTCGAGTTTACAATATCATGTCTAAAGTCTAATTTAAGTAGAATTATAAAATATTTAAAATTAAAATATTATAAATCTTTTAATATTAATATTTTAAATTTTTTTTGTAAAATTGAATAAAAATAATTTTATTAATATAATAATATTTTGGGCCGGATAAAATTAAGCTTGAACTTAAAAAATCATATTAAAGGTCCTACTTGAGTAGAATTATGATTAC